TAAAATTAAAAAAAAAAAAGACCGTACCCTTTTATGTAATGATGTTTACTTTGAATTTATATTAGTTCACACAAACACTCCATCCATGCTTTTGTTCCGGCCCTCCGGTCCAGTTTAAGAACCCGTTGTGGCCCTCGAGTCAAAAAGTTTGCCCACCCCTGAGCTAGAAGCAACTTTTGAGGTATTCAAAGCTCCCCTTATATATTAAGGAGAGCAGTATTTAGGATGTATTCATCTTTTGGAGACCATTCTTAGCACAGACCTGCTGCAAATGAGCCATCTAGAATTTTAGCATTGTGGCCACTGAAAGGGAAATCTCAAGAGTATTTTAATAATCATCTAATGATCATAACTGAAGGCAGTGTTAGAATATTGGCCCAAAACATTTGTTGTATTTTGGGGGACTGGCTTTTTCATAACACAATGTATTTTTCCACCTTTCTTGGTATTGTATGTATAGGTAGAATAGGTAGTGAGCGGGGAGTAGAATTCTTAAGGGGCCATGCTTTGTTCTGACATAAGCATCTGTTCCTTATTCCTTACCTAGCCCCATGGAAGGCTATAAAGATACCTTCATTCTATGAAGAACATTATTTTCATGGTAGATCTTTTAAACCAAGTCTCAGGATTGTAGCACTGTCTTTTCCAAAGTAGAATGTTTATTTATATTTAACCAAAACATATGATACCCGTGAATCATAATTAACTATATACAAAATAATACTAATAATTGTGATTTGCTCATTCACTTGTAGCGAAATGGGGGTGTTTAAAATTTGTAAAGAAACTGCAAAAGCACAGAAAGGGAATTCCAAGATAATATTTACCCTGTCTTCTGAGATTATTAAAATAATAGCAGGTTGCAAAAAAAGAAAAGTTAACAATCGGTGATGTGATTTCTCTCTTTTCCTCATTTTTCTTTTTTTTTTTTTTAAAAAATATTTCTATTGAATTCAGAGAGGAAGAGAGAGGGAAAGATAGAAACATCAATGATGAGAGAGAATCATCGATTGACTGCCTCTTGCACGCCCCCTACTGGGGATCGAGCCTGTAACCCTGGGCATGTGCCCTCAACTGGAATCAAACCTGGGACCTTTCAGTCCATAGGCTGACACTCTATCCACTGAGCCAATCCAGCTAGGGCTTTTCCTCCTTTTTCTTCTCTTCACCCCCAATCTCTCCAGGCACCTGCCTGAAGGCTGGTCCTCACAGAGCTCTTAAAGTTACATGCCCACGCAGTCGGCTACTGCAATTCCTCCCTGGAAACCCTACTTTAAACTGTGCTAACAACTATAGTATTTCCTCATAAGAATGCTGAGTTAAAAATTATATATATATAATTTCCACACACACACATATTAAGCAGCATTAGTGATTTAAAATTGTGAAAGAGCCCGTAAAGTGAGATTTTAAGATTTAAAAAATGGTTTACATTGATTACAGAATTATTTCCAGGTTGTTGGGCAGACTAAAAATGAGATGTTTCTTGTAAAAAGAATTGATATGTGTATAAAATAATGTGCAATGGACATATATTCTAGACTTGATGACTATCGATTTCTCATGTGTCTAAGGAAGATTTCTCTGCCCTTACCTTTCTTTGCTGTGATACAAATCAATGAAATACATTCACATGTGAAACATATGTCTGTGGATTTATGCACATTTCGATCAAGCCTAAACTCTTTTAAAGGTCACTAAATTGGTTAATAGCCACATATTTGCCAGAATTATTAATGTTCATAAGTAACTGTGTCTTTATGGACTGCAGATAACATATTATGGGTTATTGCAATGCCCACAAAAGCAGCTATAACTTGACTCCTTTTCCGTCCACTCAAGAAAGAATATTGAAAAACAAATGGGTGAGAATCACAGTATCATGAGGAATGTTTTCAGTCTATTTTGATCTATTAAAAATAAATAAAACTCTGTAACTTTATTGCTGATTAACAAAATGACATTTGATGTCCTCACTTGAGATAGAGATATTCTTGTCTGGCCACATCATGGATGCCCTCGATTGTCACAAATACACATTACAGCAGTAGATTAAATTCCATTGATTGACCTAACTTCCATAAAAGTGCTAGCTATAGTAAACATTCAGTATTTAAATAAACATTTCAATTTAACCTTTTGTGTGTAAAGTTACATGAGAATTATTTTGCTAGCAATTATTGAATTGAGAAACATTGTGAATAGGTGTGGATTAGCTGCTTTGGAAAGCTTCCCCAAGTATGTTTGTTTTGTGTAATAAAATCCCCTAAAACAAATACAATCATCCAAGTTATTCTATTACTAGAGGCCCAGTGCATGAAATTTGTGCACTGCGAGGGGGGGGGGGGCGTCCCTCAGCCCAGCCTGCATCCTCTCGCAGTCTGGGACCCCTCGGGGGATGTCCACCTGCTGACTTAGGCAGCAGACATCCCTGTCACAGTTTGGGATCCCTCTCACAGTCCGAGACCCCTCACTCCTTACTGCCCACCTGCTCGCTGCTCCTTAGTGCTGCCGCAGAGGCGGGAGAGACTCCCGCCACCGCCCCAGCCAGCCATGGCCCAGCTTCTGGCTGAGTGGCCCTCCTCCTGTGGGAGCGCACTGACCACCAGGGGGCAGTTCCTGCACTGAGCTTTTCCCCCCTGGTGGTCAGTGCACATCATAGCGATCGGTCATCCCGCCGGTCATTCTGCTGTTCGGTCTGTTTGCATATTAGGGTTTTATTATATAGGATTTGTAAGTCTCTATTTAAATACTGTGTGGATCCCTAACTGGTTTGGCTTAGTGGATAGAGCATTGGCCTGCGGACTTAAAGGTCCCAGGTTCGATTCCGGTCAAGGGCATGTACCTTGGTTGCAGGCACATCCCCAGTAGGGAGTGTGCAGGAGGCAGCTGATCGATGTTTCTCTTTCATCGATGTTTCTGACTCTCTATCCCTCTCCCTTCCTCTCTGTAAAAAATCAATAAAATATATTTTAAAAAAATAAATACTGTGTGGATGGCCATAAGCACTTGTTTTTGCTAGTGATGGTGGAGATGATGGGTTTTTACAATGAGAAGCACTTTCAAAGGGTTGACCCAGATATTTTTTTCTTCCATTTCTCACTTTTTTCAGTCCTGTAAATAGAAATCTAGATCATTAATCCAAAGTAGTGTCAGCTATAAGCTCTTCTGCAATTCTTCATAGCCACTGCCAGTTTTTCCAACATGTAATTTTATAATTTTCTAGCTGTTTTGTGGAGAAAGGTTTGAACAGAAAAGCATATTAAGGCTAAAGAGACAAGCTTCCAATGCCATATCCTGCAGCCCTGCCCCTTCTTTTTGCTGTGCTTAACTCTCTATGAATTCAAACCATGTTCAATAGCACTGCTTTTAGAATGTAAGATCTGCCTTTATATAGTACAGCCAGGGAGGAGAGCCTAGGTTAAAATGAGAAAGATATAAATAATATCATAATATTTCTCATGGTGTTTGACATATTGTTGACAGGCCATCACTGTACTTCATACACTGTTGGAAAATGATAAAATACTGTAATTACCAGGCCATTCATCACATAGAATTAACATGAAGCTTCAAAGTTTCATCCCTAAAGTGATTTGGGATGACAAGCAAAGAGTCTCTTAAATCTTCACTATTAATAGCGACAGAATTAGAGATGTGTAATTAGAGTATTAATTCTTCACCAGCTAATGACCAGAGAGATGAATGATGAGACTTTGCACACCTTATTTAATGAATTATATGTGGTCAACATGCGATTCAATATAAAAATTATGGTTTGTAAAAATATAATTTGCATTTTATTGGTTATTCTCTACTGCAGACATAATGTTCTTACTTGACTTCTTTTCTAACTTAGATTTCTGTTGGTTTTACCTTTTCTAGCATATAGTAGATTCATATCTAGAATCCAGTAGTGTGGAGAATGATCAAATAGGACTCAGGCAGTGATGGCTGTTCGGATGTGGAGGAAGATATATGGTGTGTGATATGTGTGTATGCGTGTGTGTGTGTGTGTGTGTGTGTGTGTGTGTACATGACTGATTCAAGTATAAAATTATCTTGATATACTATTGTAATGCAGAACTGAAACCAATAAGGCAATGTAACAGTGGTAAGGTATTAAATATAGTACTTCTATGGAAAATCAGTTGTACAAGATAGAGTTGTTACATAAGTTAGGCCTAATATACCCTGAGTGTTTTGTGGCTGGTAAAAATAATAAGGCACTTTCACAATGCTTTCATAAACTAGAGTGCAGGTTATAGAAGGTAATAGTACTCTCCACTGGTTTAATAACTTTTGCAGTATTGTTTCAGTTATCAGACACAGTTAAAGTAGGACAAACACAAAACAAAAATTCATCTAAACAAGTTGAACAGTTTGAGAACTATTTGGCGACATTGCAGTTGAAATAATCCTTGACCATTCTAAATGTTGGCAATCTTACGAAGAGAAACCTTAGAGAAGATATACTGTGTTTAAATATTTGAAGAAATGTAATGCGAGTTAGATGGTAGATTTTGTTCCTTGTTGTTCGGAAACAGAATGTCTCCAGCTACAGCTCTCCAGATAGAAAATGGGTCGTCTCCGAGTCGTGAGTGTCACTCTAGTAGTGTCTCCCTACTAGTGTCATCTGAGACTAGACACCATTTGTCAGGGATGTTATAGAAGAAGAAGTTATGTAAATGAACTCTTAGGCTCCTTCAACTCTTAACATTTCTTGAATCTCATTATGAACCTGAATAGTTACCGGCTGTGTTGTAGAGCACACTAGACATGAACTTTACCTTCTCTGTTAGAAGCTTAAAAGTAAAAAAAAATTTAAACCATTAAAATAGGTATGGTAGGTGGTTAAGAAAAGCAAAGTAGGTGGAAAGAAAAATAATAACTGATTCATGTCTTGACTCTTAAAGGTATCCAGGATATTTAAAGTATTTTAGTGCATTTACTGCATCTGGACATTTTATTTTATTGAAATGCAATATTTTCATTTTTAGGTTTTCACTTCCAGTTATTGCAACAGCAGAAAGCTGCATTCTTACTACTTACCCATATATGGCATTTCATATTGATGAGGAAAACATTATTGTAAGGAATGGTAAGTTGCATGTGACTGTTTTCTCTCTATCACTGTATCGGTTCTTGTTACACAAGGCTAACATCTAGAAGGAAAGTGACTTTAAATATTAACAGATATTATCCTGGCTGTTGTGGCTTAATTGGTTGGGCATCATCCCATACACCAAAAGGTCACCAGTTCGATTCCCAGCCAGGGCATATGCCCCGGTTGCAGGTTAGGTCCCTGGTCGGGATCTATAGGGGAGGCAAATGATCAATGTTTCACACATCGATGTTTCTCTTTCTTTCTCCCTCTCCCTTCCCCTCTCTCAGAAAAATCAATAAAAACATATTTTAAAAAAGAAAATAAAAAAATGAAAATTAACGCATGTTTAATAAACTCCTGCTATTACCAGGAGCCAGGTTTAGTATTGAGAGTTGAATATGGCAGTGTTTCTCTCTTTCTCTTTTTTTTATCCTCACTTGAGGATATTTTCCACTGATTTTTAAAAAAATATTTTTTATTGATTTTAGGAAGGGAGAGGGAGAGAGAGATAGAAACATCAATGATGAGAGAGAATCATTGATCGGCTGCCTCCTGCATGCCCCCCACTAGGGATCGAGGCCACAACCCAGGCATGTGCCCTTGACCAGAATTGAACCCGGGACCTTTCGGTCCGCAGGCCAACACTCTATCCACTGAGCCAAACAGGCTAGGGCTCCATTGATTTTTAGAGAGAGTGGAAGAGAGAGGGATAGACAGAGAGAAATATCGATGTGAGAGAAACACATCAACTGATAGCCTCCTGCACGAGCCCTGACCACTGCCCAGGCCGGGGAGGACCCTGCAACCTAGTTATGTGCCCTTGACCAGAATCAAACCAGAGACCCTTTGGTCCACAGGCTGATGCTCTATCCACTGAGCCAAACTGGCTAGGGCAGATAGTGACTCTTAATTCCAAAAGTTGACAATTTAGTGAGGGGTACATAAATAAATTAATACAAACAGGATAGAATTAAGAGCTGAGTGCATGAGTGAATTGAAATATTAGGAATGTGAGGGTGGTGCAGAGGTTAATGCAGATGTTGGGGGTCTAGGGTGACTTTATAGAAGAGATGACGTTTGTGTAGAGCTTCACAAATAATGATCTTGAACAGGATGATTGAGGCAAAGGACTATATAGCAAAAGCATTGGGGTGTGATAGGAGATATAAGGCAGGCACTGTATGGGCAGAGCCACACCACTACTCCGTTTATTCTCTCATAGTGGGAACCATCTGTGATTTTGAATATCAGTGATTTGGAAAGGGAACAATTGTTGGGATGCAAAATCAGACTGAGAAGGTGTTGGGGTCCAACCCCAGCAGGTCCAGTGGTTCCCAAAGGTGTGGATGGAGTCGGCGAAGAAGGAATGACACAGAGACAGCATTCAGTTGATCAGCATAGTTGGTTCTCCAGCCAGGTTCTCTAGCCAGGTTCTAGCCAGGTTCTCCAGTCAGGTTCAGTCTTTATTGTCCTATTACATCTGTATTTATACCAGTTGATTTTAATCCTTTCCATTATAAGGGCTATTCCAAGGTCACTGCTCTACTGATAAGCTACAAGGAAGTGACTGAAGGAGATTATCCTACCCAGTAAAGGTTATGTCCTCCCAGCCTCGCTGCTTGCCTTCCCTGGGACTGCCCTGTGTCGGTGGGTCTCCAGGGGTATAGGCTTTGGTGCTTTCCCTGGTGGGCAGACCCCTGGGGATGTGGGCCCCACAAGTCCCAAATTTATTGCCAACAGTCTTAGTCCAAGTTCTTCATAAGTAGTACATGGTATTTCTGTAACACTAGGGGGGTTTCACTGATTTATTCTCTTCCTTAGTCCTGTTAATCCCTGACTCCAGGGAAAAAATCCCCACCTGGGGAAACAAGCTTTCTCGGAGAGGTGACCTTGGTTAAAACACATAGCTCTAAGAAGGGGAGCAAACATATTAAGAACAGTATGACATATATGCCAGGTCCCTTGAAACATATACTGTACAGATGTTTTTTCCCTGCAGCGACTGTGTCAAGCAGCAAGGATGGACCGGCTTCCGGCAAGAAGGAGAGTGGTCAGTAGACTCACTGGGAGTTACTGCAGAGGAAATGTTGAGAAAATATAAAAACAATTGGATGAGAAACTGCTGAGCTGGGAGAGATGTGAAATACAAGGCACAGAAGAGAATGATGGATGGAGTAAATCTAAGGGGTTGAGAAAGGATGGAGAATGGGAAAAATTCCCTCTGTATAATAGATTGTCAAGGCCTTAAGTTTCAGTAATGAGTTGGAGGTCTTTTCTGTGTTTTTAACAAATTTTCTCATATTCTTCACTTGCTTCTTCAAATGTTTATCATTCTATGAAACACTCAATACTGTTCTTCCTCAGTCACAGGAAATGACCTTTTCTCTGACTTTACAGAAGAAATAGAGACCATCAGGCAGGAACACTCTGAACTTCCAAATGCCATGCATGCATCAGAACCCATTATCTCTTCGTCACAAAGCTCAGAGGCAAGACTCTCTCCTGACTTAGGCCATTGATGATCTTGCTTAATCAACTAACCTGGCTTACTCCTGCCCTTCAACTTCTACCTTCCTCTTAGCTGCTTTGGGGGAGTGTGCAGGATGACAACTGGGAGGAAAGGAGATGACATTCTCTCAGGGAACTGGCTCATTCCCAAAGGGAAAAGGGTGAATTCAGGCCACACATGCTTGATTTAGTCTTTCCAAACTTACCAATCAGATGAACCACTCAATTTCTCAGGGAAAGGGAGAAAAAATAGCAAAGGAAAGTAGGCTTTTAGAGTACCTCAGCTCCTTTAACAGGAAGGAAATGTCCGGGGTGAGGAAGAAAGTGTTCATCCATTACACTGTTGTACCTTCACTATTCAGCAGCAGTTTCTACTATTGACTATTTTCTCTCTCTTCCTAGTCCTGATGTTACTTTTTTATATTTTTCTAATATACTGGGCAGACATTTTAGATAACACACCATAGATGGAGCAATGGATGAAGGCATAGACCTGGGTGGAAATTCTATTTTGTGAGTTAACCTACCATTTTGCCAAATTTTTTTTCCAGTATTTTATTGACTTTTAGAGAGAGAGGAAGGGAGAGGGAGAAAGAGAGAGAAACATCGATGTGAGAGCAAAACATTGCCTGTCTCCTGCACAATCCCATACCAGGGATCAAGCCTGCAACCCAGGTATGTGCCCTGACCTGGAATAGAACCGCCAACCTCTTCGTGCATGGAACAATGCCCAACCACTGAGCAACACTGGCCAGGCCTTGCCATATGTATTTATCTTTAATTCTCATATCCTAAAACATCTGTATTGAACAAAATGTGCATGGTGAGGGAGAAGCAGTGTACTAAAAATATGTGCTTATTTCAAAAGGATTTTCTGAGGACTCAGAGACTATAAATACAGTGGGGCCTTGACTTACGAGTTTAATTCGTTCTGTGACGGAGCTCGTAACTCAAATTACTCGTATGTCAAATCAACAGTGAACGAGTGAGACACGTGATGCTGGCCTGATGTTTTGGCGTTCACTGTGACGTGCGCGGCGCCAACTAGCGGTGAGGGATCTGAAGCTGGCTCATAACCCGAATTTTAGCTCGCAACTCAAAGCAAAAAATCGGCTGAGAGACGGCTCATATCTTGAAAAACTCGTTAGTTGGGACACTCCTAAGTCAAGGCCCCACTGTACCTGGAAATATTATTATTATTTCATTATTATTGCTATTATAACTTATTATTTTATTACTCTTTTATTCTTTTAATAATATCTTCCCCAAAATAATGAAGAATTATTATACAAAATATTGCTATCTCTTTAAAAGAAAAAACATCATATCTTTGTGTTTGCAGGATGATTGAGTATGAAGTATATTGGTTAAAATACTGCATTTATTTGGGTAATTATTATTCTAGAAAGATATCATGATTCTTAAATCTTCTAATGTATCTTTATAAATATATGGTGTCCCAAAAATGTATATACACTTTGAATAATTATAAAGGCAGTGTTTATTAAAATACATTTCATTTTCAAAATGTAATAGAACCTACCGACATTGTTTATATACATTTTGGGGGATATTCTGTATTTATAATAATATTTAGTGCTTTTCAGGCATATGGTGCTTTGCTAAAGGCCTTATATTTATTTCATTTAGTCCTTTCAACAACTCTGAGTTCAATACTCTTATTAATCTCACTTTACAGATTAGGAAAATGACTCATAAAAGGTTGAGCAACTTGCCCCAGGGAATACTAACCAAATTTGTGAGACCTCAGAGGCTTCACACTTAGTAGCTACAGTGCTCTAGAGTACATTATGTTCAGTAAAGGTGAAATCTTAAAACATATTAAGTATATCCAAAAGTAAAGCAGTATGATTTACTTGTTAGAGCTAATATGCTAAATAAAAACTATTATAAGAATCACTAACATAATTTGAAGGGTACAGATGTGGGTTTGTATCCAAGTAGGAACTTTTTATAAGTGAGTTGGTAAGTAGAAAAGACACTGTCAAATGCATACACGATGACTCATTCTATCCTTAAATTCCCTCAGACTCACTTCTGTGGCTTATAGTTGTGTAGCATTCTGGAGTTATGCACACTTACTGGATAAAGGTTCTCTGGCAAATTCTAAACTGTCTTTGTACTGAAAAAGTGGAAGGAACATAGTATATGTTAGCATATTTGTATGTGTTATTGCTCATAAAATAATTCTCAAAACAGATTCATGAGCTCAGAACCATTGGGTTTTTTTTATGAATAAAAACATATGTTGCAGAGAACTTGTATAATATACGGCTCAGGAGTTATAGTATCAAGCTTTCAAATTAGATCTTTGTAACTGTACAGGCTGTGCTTTTCTGATAGAATTATATTATGAATATATATATATATATCTATAGACACACATACATACACACATGTGGATGGATGGACAGACAGTTAGATAGATACATACATACATACATACATACATACATACATAATCTACCGTAAGTCACATCACTGCTTTTTTCTTGGTCAGCATTGCCTTTGATTGGGTTCAGATTACCATGGTCGCAAATTCTATCATATATACAGCAACTCTAACTGGAATAGATATTGAAGGCTGTGCAAAATGGTGTCAGCTCGTAAGGGAGCAGTGATTTCATTTCAGAAAAATAACTGGGAAGAAATTACATTTGTTAGTGACACACTTTCTTTATATTTGTTTTTGAGCACCATATATCACAATTTCAAAACTTTTGGTGTAAAAACACTTAAATGTTTTGCATATCCTAGTTTATGCTAAAGTTGAGCATTGTTTATTCTCCAAAATCATTGATATACCATAATAATTTCCTTATCAAGCAAAGTTTATTGATTCAGACAACCATATCACCTTTTATGTTATTTTTTTCTTATTTGACATCTTACATCTTGGACATTTGACATCTTATTTGACATCTTACATAATGGACATTTAGGCTTATTTCTTTTATTTTGTACTGTGTATATATAATATATATGTATATGTACATATACATATATACATATTTATGTATTGTATATATGAAATTATGATATTTAAGTCCAGTAATTTGAAATTAAATTCAATAATGAATTTCCAAACGCTTGTTTGGCTTACTATGATGCAATGTGTCATTTGCAGATAAGGATCCCAGCCTTGTGAAGATTTCAAAACATGTTTCGCTTCCCTATGAAAAAGATGGATTATCTTCTCCTGCTCCATCTAAATGTGAGGAGATTGATCCTGCAAAGAGATTCTTCATCGGTATGTGGCAAATATATAGTGTACCACTCAGAGCCATTCTGTAACATGATCTCTTTAATATTATGTGATTTAAAGCTTTGGTTTTTATCAGGGAATAAGAAATACAAGAAGAAAATCATGAATTTGTCGTTAGTTCTAAGTGGGTCATCTGCTTTGGGAGCTCTCGCCAATGGTCTCAAGAAGAGATTCTCTAATGTTTTTGCTTCACAGTACACTTAGTAGCTCAGCAATTTTCCCACAGGCCAAAAGATGTGCTAGGAAGTTCCGTTTATTAAGTGGTTTGGTCCAAAAACCTCTGAGTAGTAGTATATGTGATAGCCAACAAATGTTAATTGAGATGCTAAATATCCTGCAAAGCCCCTGTGAATTTGCTATGGCATCCCAGGTACCCTCTGTCCCCAGTTTGGGAACTGTCGAACTAGGGGTTTGTCTGCTAATTACCTAGCTTGGATTTAATGTTGCCTGTCTTGGAAAGAGGTGAGCACAGAAAAATATGCAAACTTGCAATTATCTATTTAAATATTCTTGTCTCTGAATATGGGTAGTATTGACAATTTTTTGTTTTATTAAATGAACCAAACCAAATGAATTATTGTGGGGTTTTTGAATGAGTTGTGTTTGTGCCCTTACATAGGCAGTTTTTTTTTTTAAGTATGATCATACCATTTTATATTATTGAAAATTTCTCAAGAATTAACTCAAAATGTTTTGGCTTATTGAAGTGGGCTTCACTTGGATAGAAAGTCACTTTGAATCTAAAGCTGGTATTTTGTTTCTGTAAGTTTTTCAGCTAAGGTTTAATTCTGTCTAACAAATAAACCGAATAATTGTTAAAATATTTTACATATATAATTGAAAATGAAAGGTTCCATTTTGAGGAGTGTTTTCCCATACAGTTATGGAAAGAAAAAAATTTAATGTTTTTTATTGTAATCCATCTATTTTTAAAGTATTTCTGTTGGAATTTAAAAATAAATGATTTTCCTTTTTTATTTTAAGACTAGAGCCCCGGTGCATGAAAATTCATGCACTGGGGAGGGGGAGTTCTTCAGCCCGGCCTGCCCCCTCTCACAGTCTGGGAGCCCTCAGGGGATGTCCTACTGACGGGGGATTGGGGGGGGGGGAGGGGAGAGCGGGCCTAAGCTGCAGTCTGACCTCCCTCTGCAGGAGGCAACTGGGCTGATCAGGGGAAGGTGCCGCCCCCATTACCCTGCAGCTGCTGCTGCCTCTGGCCTCCCTCTGTGTGAGGCGACCAGGCCGATTAGGGGAAGGTGCCACCCCATCACCCCCTGCTGCTGTTGCTACTGCTGGCCACCACCGCGGCTGCCAGCCCTCCACCCTCCCTGCTTAGCGCTAGCCCTGCCCCCTACCCACTGGTGGGTGAGGGGCAATCTGGAGCCAGGCCAGCTAGGGGAAGGGCTGTGGGAGGTTAAAGCACAGCAGGTCGCACCCCATCCAGCCTCTGCGGAGGCGTGGCACCGGGACCAGGCCCATCCTGCTGCCTCTGTGGCTGCCTCTGCAGAAGGAGCAGCACTGGGACCGGGACCGCACAGCCCCCTCTCCCGCTGCCTCTGCAGAAGGGGCCGTGGCGCTGGACTGGCCTGCGCCGAGGACTCTCCTACACCGCTGGCCCTCAGCCCTCCCAGCCGCCACAGCTGCCGGCCCTCAGCCCTCGCAGCAGCTGTGGCTTTGTCCAGAAGACGTCCAGTCTAATTAGCATATTATCCTTTTATTAGTATAGATAGCAGTAAGTTGGATCAGACTTTCTTTGATTGCATAGAATAATTTGTAGAATGGGATCTATTTGTCGACCTACAAATTGCAATAGCTGACAGAATATTTTACTCTATGGTCAAATAACCCTTTTTGCAAAAAAAAACACACGTGAATTTTAGGAATAGAAGAAACACCTGGAAAAGTGAAAAGCCCAAGAAGTGAAAAGCCTAAGAAGAAAGGAGATAAATCAGTGGAAAAGCAGGAGGAAAATAAGAAATTCTGTCCTGATCCAGGAACAAAGGCATATGACTTCATTCAGAAGATTGTAAATGCAGTTCAGACCTGGTTCAGCCTCTTCGGCTGGCCTGACGGACCACATTCTCTTTCTGTTCCAGACAGTATAAGAAGGTGACAGTTGCATTATTCTCTAAATCCTTTGTTTTTTATCATATAATAAAATATAATCTATTAATTGGAGTTGTTTTAAGTGAAATACATTATTAAGTAATTTATTCTTAACTGATAAATTATAAGGAGACTATTAAGGAAAGCTAAAAAATGCAAATATAAATTCTTTAGTATACACTTACATTTCTATTCCTTCTAAATATCCAATGATTTTAGGCAGCAATGAAAATCTCTGAAGCACAGTTCCCTCATTTGTCAAACAAAGGGGAGTCTATGGGTAGGAAATCTCTTTTAACCTTGAAAAAAATGGAAACTCCACATTACTCTACAAATGACCTATCAGTCCTAGATCTAGACTATAGTCAGATAAACAGTGGTACTAGTAAACAGGAAGTGTCAATTTCTGCAACACTATCTCCTCTTTGACAATACATTTACCTCACTCTTCATGGGTGTTTTTTTTTTTATTACTGAGCATGTCTGAAATAGTTAAACTGCATCGGTTGCATTAGGCCACTTAATTCTGTTGTTAATTTACATAGGAAGTCAGGCACCTCCCTTGTTATTATGTTGCTGGTGTTGTGGTTCTCAAGCTCTTGGAACTTCCTTCTCAGAACTGGTATAACTTGCTGGCCCCATGGGGTCAAGTACTAATATCTAGCTAGAAGATCTATATTATAATTTTTGCTTCTGTACTTAGGAGTGAGCTAGGTTACATTGGGTCTATAGTTATCTTTCAATTTAACTTTTTCAGTGTTTTTTTAAATTAATAGGACAGTGTAAGCTACATAGAATAATTTCACTAATATTTCATATTTGTTTATGGTGAGAGAAAATGAATGCAGCAGATAACCTGAAAATTTGACAGCCTGATCATAAAATTATCTGATTCCAGGAAATTAAGAGAAGCTATTGTTATAACTTTTCAGTACTTTGCTTTTGTGTTTGTTCTACTGAAAATTGTATCTATTTTGAGTAAATCTTTTTTAAAAATATGGTTTTATTAATTTTGGAGAGAGAGGACTGAGAGAAAGAAACATCAATGAGGAGAGGGAATCATTGATGGGCATTGAGCCTGGTAACCTGGGCAACCCAGGCATGTGCCCTGACCAGGAATCGAACAGTGACCTCCTGGTTCATAGGTCGATGCTCAATCACTGAGCAATACTGGCCAGGCTATCTCTTATCCTTGGTGTCTTCTCAGCTGACATTATTCTTGGGCATATATCACAATTTGGTAAAGGCAATATCAGGAAATAGAGATTGCATTGTCCTATTTAAAGAACAGAGAGCCTGGCCAGTGTGGCTCAGTGATTGAGTGTTGACTTATGAACCAGGAGGTCATGGTTTCATTCCTGGTCAGGGCATATGTTCATGTTGAGGGCTGAACCCCAGTAGGGGCATGCAGGAGGCAGCCAATCAATGATTCTCTCCCATCATTGATGTTTCTATCTCTCTCTCCCTCCCCCTTCCTCTCTGAAATCAATAAAAATATAATTTAAAAAAACAATAACAGATAAATACATGGGAACAATAGATCTCTGGACTTTATCTTAAAAGCGAGAATTTCTACTCATGAGGCCAATGTGCAAGATGTGCCTTTCTAAGTATTAAAAGACAAATATTGAGAAAATATATGTAAATTGGTCTTTGTATAAACATGTGTGATGAATGTTTGAACCTCTTCCTCAATATCTCCTATATCATCTGGAGTTATTCAGTGGTTTTGATAAGACTGATATCATATTTGTTAGTACTGTGTTCATTCTCCCAGAATTATTTTAGGATTTGTATTTCTCTGTTAATCTCCTATTCTGTAGTTCACTGGAATAAAATCTGAGCATGAGAATATTTTATATCATTTAATACTAGAGGCCCAGTGCATGCATTCATGCACTGGCAGGGTCCCTCAGCCTGGGCCTGCCCCCTCTCGCAATCCAGGACCCCTTGGAGGATGTTGGACGAAACCAGCAGTCCGACATCCCCCAAGGAATGTAGTAGTGTGTGAAACGGCAGGCGGCTGGGAGGAGCTTGAGCCCGGGCTGGGCACCGTGCCACTCACGCTCATCCTGGCCCCTCCTGCTCATCCTGGCCCTGCTGCACCTGCTGCTGCCTCCACTTGGTCATGCTCCTGCAGAGGCGGGAGAGGCTCGCACTGGCACAGCTGCACTTGCCAACCATGAGCCTGGTGTCTGGTGCCTGTTGGTCAGCTGAGCGGAGCTCCCACTGTGGGAGTGCACTGACCACCAGGGGGCAACTCCTGCATTGAGTGTCTGCCCCTTGGTGGCCAGTGCATGTCATAGTGACCAGTCAAACCGTCGACTGGTCGCTTAGGGTTTTATATATATAAAAGAGGCATGGATTCGTGCACCAGTGGGGTCCCTCAGCCTGGCCTGTGGGATCAGGCTGAAACCTGCTCTCCAACATCCCCCAAGGGGTCCTGGATTGCGAGAGGGCACAGGCCAGGTTGAGGGACCCCACTAATGCATGATCGGGGCCAGGGAGGGATGTGGGAGATTGGCCAGCCGGGGAGGGACCACGGGAGGGCTTCAGGGCATGTCCAGCCCATCTTGCTCACTCCTGATCGGCCGGACCCCAGCAGCAAGCTCACCTATCAGTTGTAGTGCCTGCCCCCTGGTAGTCAGTGGACATCATAGCAACTGCTCAACTAGTTGAATGTCTGTCCCCTGGTGGTCAGTGCATGTCATAGCGAGTGGTTGAGCAGCTTAGCATATCATTAGCATATTATGCTTTGATTGGTTGAATGTACAACTGGACGACCGGACACTTAGCATATTAGGCTTTTATTATGTAGGATAGATACTTGGCATTCAGTAGGCCCTTTCAGTTAGAAAACTTATTGTTTTTTTCTGCTATTTCTTTTCTGCTATTTCTCTATTTTCTGTTCCTAAATCTCCTTTTAGAATGATCGTGGACCTGAATGACTGATCCTTTATATTGCTCAATTATACTTTCTGTTTTTCATCTTTTTCTGTCTTTTACTTCCTTGTACTTATAGATCACCTTCGTTCCCTCTTTCAATCTTCTATAAAAAATTTGATTTGTTTTCTAAGAATTCAGTGTTATTCTTTATTTCTTCCTTCCTCTCTTTTCTCCACCCTCCCTCTCTTTCTTCTTTCCTCTTTTCTGTCTTTTAATTTCATAATACCCTATTGTTTGTGTTATGGATGCATGCTTTCTCAAATATCTCTTCCACATATAGTATTTCTATTAATTATCCTTATTACCATGCTATAGGTTACCTCCTCCCTCTGTATAAGCCAACTCTAAACTTGATGCCTCTCTTATGGTCCTTTAGGAAAATGGCTTCCTTTCCCCCCTGTGGTTTACTGCTATGCCATCCATCATTTTGATTTATTCTTCAATACAATTCCATCCATTGTCTGTCTTACAGATATTCTTAAAGTTTCTTGTATAATGATCCTTTCCCCAATTTTAGTGTTGTTACAGGTTTATTCCCTTTCTCCAATTTTTCTGACATTTCAGGTATATTTTGAGAGAGAGAGAAGGTAAGCACATATGTTTAGTTTATTATCCTAAACAGGAAGTTGCCTTTCCTTATAATTTTCTGCAGTTTTACTCTTTCATTTATCTTCCTATAGTTCTAACTTAATGACTTATCATTTCTATTATTGATTTCATTATTGCTGCCTAATAATCCATGCCCTTCTGAACTTGCTTTGCAATATCTCTCTTACCTTCTTTTTCTTTTTTCTTTATTGATTAAGTTATTACATATGTGTCCTTATCCCCCCATTTACCTTATTTCTTTAAATATAATTTTATGATGATATTTTATTAACAATAATGATTAATATATTTTGGACTTTTACTGTGAAATAAAAGTCCAGGAATCATTATATGTGCTTTGTGGGTAATAATTCATTTACTCTTTACCCTATGATGTAGGTAATATTGTTATCACCATTATACTGATGAGAATCTGAGGCATAGAGAGAATAAGTAATTTTCCCAAGGTCACTCAGTTGATAAACAGCAGAGCCAGAATTTGAACATTCCATCCCAGAAACTCTCATTTTGTATAACTATATAGAATCTTACCATAAATCAAGTTAATCAGTGGAATGTTCTACCAAATATAATGAGAGCATATAAAAATAAGGAAAATATTTTCTCTATGCCTCCATTTCCTCATTTTTAAAAAGGAGATAATGATAATACTTTCTAGTGTTGCTGTGATATTTAAAAGAGGTAATGCCTTTAAATTGTATTAGAACAGAACTTAGGACCTAATAAATATTCAGTAAATGTTAGTTATTCTTATTAAATTAAATTGGAATTATGTTAATAGTGTTACGCATTTCTGATTTCATTAACCATATTCACCAACTCTTCTATTTAGCAATGGAAGGTAAATTTAAAACCCATCCTATCAAAGCACTTATCCAAATGTTATTGATAATACTTCTTCCTAGCAGGAATTCCCCCCAGCTTGATATAAGAAATTTTGACATTTAAAACAGATATATACATGCACTTCTCTTTGCAACTTTAAGCTGTTGGCAAGATCATTGATAAATTTAATAATATAAACATAAAGTATCATCACCATTTCTGGGTAGGCTGCCTAGACATACTGCAACCATGTCTGAGAAAGTAACAAACAAAAACTTTAGTTTGAGACAAAGTGTTAAAATTAAAGTGGTTATAATAACTGATGAGAGTTGAGTTCATTGAGTTATTTTCACTTCTACACACTACTATAAGAATAATGAAACATTTGATAATTTTTATTTTCAAAATAGTTTCCTTTCTTAACCATTTTACTACTTGCTTGCTGATGATTGTGGTAAGTGGTGGACAGTTCCTTCACCTGGACATAAGTATACTGAGCCTTTTCCTTGAGCATATTTTCAATCTCCAAAGTATGGAGACTCTCATAATTGAAAAAGGAACTTAAACTCATTTAATAGCTTAATACTTAAAAAAGGGGAGAAGGAATATGGTTAAAACTTACC